TTCCCCGCTTCTTCCCACTCCTTTCGTTCGCGAGACCACCACCCTTAATACAGTCGTACGTGCGTCTATGATTTATTGAAAGCTGGAAAAAACTCTCTCTTTCCCTCCCTTTCGACTGCCCGATTAAAAAGTTCGCCCATTACCGGTCGCGCGTTCGTCGCGGCGCCCATTCAAGGCCCATTCAAAGATGTCGCATTGTCGCCGAGCCGTTTCGGTGCCTTGGAAAAAGCTTTATACAACAATGTGTCCTGGACGGGCACATTCGGAGGGAAAAACCGCCAGTCGAGAAACCGGCATTTACGCTCGCGATAGAATAATAATGGAGTGGGCCCGCCAGACTAATACCGCGTCGCGAACAGTCTGCTGAAAATTCGTGGATCAGCTGCGGGCTAAGCTGTCGCAATGCTGCCACCTCCGAACCTGATATAATGGACGCGGCGATAAATGCGCTCGAGAAAAAGGACACTCGACCTACACCTAATAAACATTATTCCTCTCTCCTCGTCGTCGCGTAATTTCATTGGATTGGACGCGAACCGATTACGAACAAATTAATCGAGATTGCCCTGACATCGGAATCGAAGATTTTAATTAGCCAGACGAGAAATTAAGCAGCTTTACTGTAATACTTGGCTCGCGATTATTTCGTCAAGTACGACGTCGTTGTTCGAAGAAATCGCACGGTCGTGGAACGTCCGACGAGTTTCTCTCGCGTCTGGTCCGACTTCTGGAAATTCGTGTTTGCCACGATGATGAGATAATAATGGCGCGGTTGTACGGGAAGGTTGACGAGGTGGAAACAGAAACAATGAGAGCAGCGTTCACGAGGGAAATCTTTCGAAGTCGCTTCGAGTTAAGTAGACGCAGAGGTTGCCTCTGCTAAGACGCGAAATAAGATGACTCGGGGCGATAGTTGCTGGATTTCCGACGACCCGTGCTTGACCTGGTCGGAATTATAAAGAAGGAATAATAAATTTACGCGATGTTCGAAGATAATTTCATTTGGGAGATATTATAAATGCGCGACGCGTCACCCGAAACGTATCTTTATTCGCTTTTCGCGCTACTTTCTGAATAACGCTCTAAAAACGCGATAACGAGTCGCTGTTCGCGAACGAACGTAGGATAAAGAGGGAAAGCCGTAGAGTCGTTGCGGTTAATTTGTCGTTTCCTCTAGCCACGTAGCTCGTTTCTCGTTTGTTTGTAGCGCATTCATGCTCGTGACGCATCCGTTCTCCAAAATACGACGGTCCTCTTCTTATCGATGACCGAAATTCCGTGGAAACACCTCGGCCTTCTATCTCCAGGAAACCACTCCTCTTAAAAGCAGTTCACAGAGTACGGAAAAATTACGCGGCGCGGGGAAAAGGCGAGGCTCGAGGAAACACAAAGCCCGGGTCGCGATGCACCCAGGCGTCGTTTCATAAATCAAGAAACAAAGAGGAATCTAAGGGGAGGGTGGCAGAGAGGGAAGAGGGTGGGTTGGCAAAAGGGAAAAAGGAGGGCATCGGAGAAAGAGAGCATATAAAGTGCCGTTGGTCGTGGTTCGGGTTGCATTGGTCCCCATTAAACATCAGCATCCTACTTTCCGAACTTGATTCCATTCGAGTCGATCGCTTAATTGTAAGGTCACGTTCTCGGACGTGCGTCAGGACCGAATCGCCGACTGATCCCGATGGGAGCTACCTACAGGATTATACAGGGTGTTTTTCAGTCGGATAATCGACTGTTGGGGAGGATGAGAGAGAAAAGAAAAGAATTCTAAATTGCTTTAGTCATTATTGTTACTATGTGATTATTTTTTCGAGATGATTCGTTCGTGTTTCAATTATTTAATACTTTAGAAGTTTAACAAGATCTCTATGTATGTACAGTGTCGTACATAGGTAGAATGTCATTATTCGACGTAGCTTTGTTAGAGACACCCTGTAGAGATAGGTAACAGCATACAGGAACGTGCAGGCGGACAGGAAATCCCCCTCGTAGCACGAGTGCAGTCCACATTAGACGACCGATACCGGGAACAATCGTCCAACAGGGGCTAATCGAACCGAGGCATTTCCATCCGGCGTTTCGGAACTTCCCTGCCGCCTGTTCAGATTCCTACGTCCACCCGCAGCCCGAACCGCCGTCTTCCTCCCTCCTCTTTTCCTCCAACTTTGTTGCGAACTGCAGCTAACCTAGCCACCGAAATCACGGGACTAATCGCTATTTCAACGATGCACCCCTTCCAACTGAAGCACCGTGCTCCATTCGTTCGCTACGCGTACTATTCGAACGCTCTTATTCTGGACGGTTCGTTAAGGACGCATTGTTGGATGATTCTCTTTCGGTCTTACGCTCGATTCAGCGTTTGCATCGACTCGTCGCCCTATTTTTTCAAAAACTTTTCATCGTTCTTCCTACGGACTCAACTTTTGCATAAACAAAGCGTTAAATTCGAACGATATCGTTTGCACCGAACAACTCTCGCTCTTTCCTTGTAATCGCGTTTTGCAACAAAGTTAAGCGAAAACTCGTTTTAATTACACCAGGAAACTCTGGTTAACTTTTGCAAAATCTTATCGCTTCAGAAATTCCTTAGGTACGGTGTAGCGCTAATATTCGCGAGCTAGGTTCGTAAACGTCTCGCGATATTATATATTGGCGGGTGAATCGCACGAGCGAGAATTCGCGGGGCTTTGTTGCAAACACGTTGCGGACATCGAAATCGTGGAGCGAATCCCATCTCGTTCTGTTCGCGCGCGTCGTTCGAATACCCGCGCGCTCTCGAAACTGCTTAACGATGTTCTCGGATTAGACGCGGCTCGTGCCAACCGCATTTTCCCTGAATCAAGCAGAACTTGCGCACCTATAAATCACCGTCTTGTAACATAACTATCTATTCTCGTCTCCGTGAAATTTCGAGCATGGTTCGAGCTAAAAGGAGATTCGCTCTTCCGACACGCGACTATTCGACACTCGTCGAAGAAATTTTCGCGTGGACGCGTTTCTTATCCTGTCTATCGAGCAACGAGAGGGAACCAGATTCAAAGCGCTCGTACTGGTCGTTTCAACGGTAGAGATCGAATCCCGCCACTTGGAAACACCTTTCCTCCTTTCTCTCTCTGGCACTTTATCGTTTCGTCGGCTCTTATCCACTTTTCTCAGCCGTCGTGTCTGTCCCTTAAAGCCCTGTACACACATCGCGGCATAGGTCGTACACGCGCGGTGTGTGCACGGCAGTCTAAAAAAGGCGGCCGGGGCCATTCGATGGCAGCTGTTCCACATTTGAAGGATGGATATTCTTCAGGCTTTGTCGCGACGACAAAAGAGACCCTCTTTGACAAAAGGCCGAGCCGAGCCGAGCTTTCCGCGCGACTCTCCTTTCTCTTTCTCTGTCTCTCTGAGAGGTTGGTACAAGCATTCAGGGGGTCTAAGTTCCATATGCGCCACGACAGAGGCACACACAGCGAGCAGCAGCTCCTCTCCTATCCTCCACCTATGCGTTTCTCTCTTTCCGATCTCTGACCCCCGTTGTGTGTTACGCCTCGAAGCTTCGTGTTCTTGTTTCGACGCGGTAGCTCGCGCAAATTCGTGTCTCTCGTAATTAGACGACGCCGCTATTACCGCTCTCGTCGTGTCCCTCTTAAACACGGCTAAAAGCTGATAATCCGTGCGAATTCTCTTCGTTCCGCGCCAAGTTAATGATAATTCCGTTGCGTCGCGGTTGGTTAGGTCGTTAGCGAAAGTATTTTTCAACGAAACGAGGTTTCTGGAGCACGCTGCTACTACCGTGTTTTCCTTTCATCGTTTACGTAGCGTTGGAATTTCCAGGAAGCCAACTTCCCGCCAGTCGACACTGTTCGGGAGTGGTTTTGTCGCGTTTCGAAGGAAACTCTTTCGTCCCCCTCCATCGTTGCTTAAAAGAGTTTCTTCTCTCGTTGGATCGTTTTCGCTATCAATAGATTCCAGGCCTGCTCAATGACCAGCGAGAAGAAAAGAGATCTCGAAGAAAATCTCGAACAACGAGCGCGATCCTAAGCGAACGAACTTCCTTTCGAACGGACGAAATTCCATCGTCCTGTTTTCGGTTTCCCGTGTCCCCGCATCGACACAGAACTTGTCCGAAACGACCATCGCTCCGTTTCTCTGGTGACTAATGAATTTGCTACGAGCTCTTCTTGCTCGACGACCCCGTTTGACCCTACCGGCTTCCAACTTGCTACGAGCGTTCACGAATCGACCAGCGTGCCACGCAACCAGGCTCCCTCGACGTCTAACTCGTTGTGACTCACTAATGATTAAGTCCGTCAGCCGGCTCATGATTTCACGATGGCATTTCGAGGCTAGTCCCCTGTCTCCTCGATTGATCGTCCTCGCTTAGCGAATCTCGATCTAAAGTTTTCGCGGGATAAAGTTACTTTTACCCGATCGTGTGTAACGTCGATACGTAACAGCAATCGCAATTACTGTGGCAGGCGAGCGAACTCGATTAGGATAAAGTTACCCTCTTGACTCGTGTAAATTAGAAACGTATACGAGGTTCTCGCGTGACAAGGATCGAACGTTTTCGATCGTAACGGCGACTTAGGTCGGCCAATGGATGCGTGATCGAAATTAATAATTCCCGATCGTGCGATTGGAACGATCAGAGCCGACCAGCTGCGTCCTCTCTCTACGAACGAAAGAGAATCATCGAATTTATCGTTCTCTTTGTGGTCGTTCGTCAAACGACTAATAATTAATTGTCGAACGGCACGCGTCGATATCGATTATCGCGAGAGAGAAACGAATATGTACCAGGATCTATCGGCACGAGCGAACGTATTCGATATCGAAAGAATTTCATTTAAATCGCGCCGGATCGATATGAAATTCTTCCATCCGTCTCGGTTCGTGCAGCCGCGACAATTCAAAATATGAAATGCAAAGTCGAAGAAGCAGCGTGTCCCGCAGCTCGAAATCAATTTTTCATCGCTCGTCTTATCGTCGTAGGTTTTCCCGTGGAGAAAGGGAACGAAGCGTTGTACGGAGGCGTCGGTAAAAACGAGAGACGCCACTCGAGGGGGTGGGAAATCGAATGTATTCGCGCGTTCTGAAACGTCACGGACCGAACATCACGCTCGGATGTCTCCGCGATATCGCTCGATAGCTTTCGGGGCATCTCGGCTGCGTTCGCTGTCGGTAGTGTCAGAGGGGGGATTTAGTCCGTGATTCGATTCAGTGCTCGTAGGTCCGCGCAACAGTTCAGATCGCATCGTGTAACAGGGGGAAGTCGTACCCTCTAATTGGAGAAGTTAGTGGTGAGCTAAACCAGATAAACCGATACAAGTGCGCCGCGAGATAAACCGGCTTGGCCTTCGTAATTGGCCGAATCGAAAAGTGAAGAACCTTCTCGTACACCGTAGACGGATCATCCGAGTTCCTCGAACGATCGCCGATTTCGAACAGATAGAAACATCGTTCCTATCGCACGAAGGTAACGCACCATTTCGCAAAGTTGCTTAATCGGTTTAATCGACTCGTCACGAGTCGTCCAAGTTTCGTCCTGTAAAAAGTTCTACCGACGGAAACGCGGGAGAGATCGATCGAAAAATAACAAGCTTTCATGAATAAAAATCGTGAGATAACGTCGTGACGCGACAGAGCATTTTTTAATGCATACATTAAAAAAGCAATCTTCCAAAAATCGAATGGCAACTGGGTGAACTTTGAACGAGGCGAACGAGCGCGGGATAGGGAAAGAAAAGAGAAGCGAAGAGAAGAGAAGGCGTGCGACGCGCGTATCGTCATCTCGTATCGCTCGACGCGCACACACGCCCCTGGTATGCTCCGGTTCCCATAAAGCGTTCCCCACGTGGCGTTTCAACCTTCTCTCTGTATCTCTGGCCAGCCGTGGTCGTGTTCCTCCATCCGTCCGTGTCCATGTGTTACGACGATACGAGCCGCGATGACTTAACCAGTCTGTCAATTAAAATGCAACCATATGCCACTTAAACTGTTCTAAATTTCAACCATTAACTCCCTATACGTTTGCGGCTGTCGTCGACGACCTATAACCCACGATACCGAGAAGAGAAGAAGGTACGAGTCGCGTGATCGCACGAACGAAACGCGTCTCCCTTTAATCGAAATGTTCTCGAAACATTTGCTAGAAACGAAGAGAAACGAGGGTGCTGCTCGTTCCTGCGATTAAAATCAATTTGACGGATTATCTGGTCGCGACGATGCAATCGTTAATCTTGTTACGGCGTAACGCGCCTTCGATCGTCGTCGATGTTTCGGACAAACGAAAAAGTCGAGAGAGTAATATGTAATAGTCGAGAAGGATTCCGAAGGTATATTACAACCGCGTGTCACGAATTTCGAACTGCAACCATTTCGTAAGAGGTCCGCGTCTTGTCCGTGTCTGTTCGCTGTCAAGCGAGCTTACAACGAAAGAGAGGAAAAAAAAAGGGTCTTTGCTCTCGAGTGGCATCCGATGAATAGGCAGTCCGTTGGCCGCGTACCGAGTCATCCGGCTTACGTTCTTCTTTCGTGACGAATCACGGGCCAAAGGAGAAGAAGCCGGAGACGCGCGCGTCTATACGCGCGATGCTTCTTGTTCCTCGTCGAGCAGCCAGCCAACAACGCACCACCCTTGTACGAGAAAACGAGTCTGGCACTCGTTCGACTTTGGCAAGCGAGCGTCGTGCGTAACGCGTAGCGCGTTCGACCAGCTACGAACGAAAAAGAAAAGTAATCGTTCGTTGCCACTCTGTTTCTCTCTCTTTCTCTCTTTCTCTCTCTTACTCTGTCTCGTGTGCACGTTACATATTAAGGGACGTACTCATTAGTAAATGAGCCCTGGGCAATCGAGTGGCGAGGTCCCAGGTGTTATCTCCGCTGCCGAGCGAACGAACGAACCCCTGGAACGAGAAGCAGCCACCTTTACGTGTCCCACCGTGTATATAAATAGGGCTGCTCAACGGTAGGAGGAGAAGAGAAGTCGGTTCGTTCTCCGTGGCATAATGCCTTTTGTTAATTATTACAGCAGCCACACTTAGGAGGCTTAAAATTCACCATAAATAATCGGTGAGACAATACCAACCACCCCCAACTCACCGACACCACCAGCACCACCGGCATACCGAAGTCGAAGAGAGGAGCTCTCGTTCTCTTGCTCTCTTTCGTCGCGTCGAACACCAACACCTCGACGTCGACCCTTTTCTCTGCTCATTTTCCATCCCCTTACGCCTCTATTTCCCCCTGCATCGCCGTGCTGGTGCACTCTTTGCCTATCCCGTTTTACCACCACCCACCCCTTCGCAGCCTTTTCTTTCTCGTTTCGCTCGCTCCGTTTCCTGTTCGTCGTTTCCTGTCGATATCCTCCAGCGAAATCCGGCGAAAAAAGCCGCGCGCGATATTCGGCGATGGTGTGCCTGGGGGTGTGCCGATGGTAGTGGTGCCGGTGCTAGCTACTGGTACTAGTATCTCCATGCTGGTGGATGAAAGCGCGAAAAACGACGCCGCGAGAGACTACGGCAATTTAGCCGGCGATGTACCTGCAGCCGAGAATTAATTGACGGATCGAACGTCCCTTCGAGCGCATCGTTACCATTTCCTTTAAACGAGCTGAAACCCGTGAAACGCTAATGATATCCTTCCCCTGTCTGTCTCCGCTTTAGCCCTTTCGAGTTCCTCGCGCTCGATTGAATTCGATAAATAATTTGTTGCCTGTTTTCGCGTTTCGAGAAAACGTTTTCGACCCGATTTATATATCGTTCTCGCGAATCAGAACATTCTTGTTTTTCCACCGTACATTGCTTTCAAGAATCGCGAAGCACATTTTCCATCAAATTCATTTTCTTCGCGACGTAACTCCGTTCCGCTTCCTCGTTCCTTCGTTGCTCGGCTTTTAAATTATCCGGCTCTTTAAGCACGCCTCCGCCCAGCATCGCGAACGTAAACCGGAGACATAATTGAAGAGAAACAATCCATTAACGTTTCCAGTGACAGACGATCGCTTGAACGGATGCACTGTACGAAATCGAACGGGGACAAAGGTTATCACCAAAGGAATCTCTTTAATAATCGCACTTCCGGTTGAACAAAGCCACCTTTCCTCGTTACTTCGAGTCAATTAGCAAACAGCAAAGAGAAACATCGTTTCGTTGTCGCGAAAAATGAAATTTACTCGTCGTAAATCAACTTTACCTCGGCATCCTTCGCGAACGATCTTTTAACGCCAGATTTTCCAATATATTTCAACGAATCAAGATGGGTTACAGTTCTTTTCGCCTGGTTTCCAGAAAAGCTTACGGTAGAATGCGCGTGTACGTGTACAGGAAGATAGATACTTACTTAGAAGTCTTTACATCGGGAACGCTTTTTATCCGACCTTCTCCCGTTTCTCGGGGCGAAAAAGCAGCGGTCGATCGGCCACGATTCGCGAACCAAAGAAAAGAGGAAACGATTGCGCCGCGTTACCGTGAAATTTATGACCACTGCTAAAGCACAAACTCTCTCTATCCTCGTCGTTTTTTCTCCTGAAATCCCGAGCTGAAGTGATTTCTACCAAAAGATTGCCCGTAAGAAGTAGCCTCGAACGCGCTTGGAATTAACCGAAGCTAAAAGTCGAATTGCGAGGAACAGTTAATACCGCAGCGACGTATCCCGTCGAAAATCTATCTTTACGATTCTCGTAACGTCCCTCCAATTTATACGCGTACGTACCATGAAAGGAGTCGAATTTTTGGAACAAGCAGGAACATTTGACGGTACCTCGGACACGCGACTATGACGAATACTAATTAGAGAGTTTCGGAACATTGGTTAAATCGACAGGATAAAAGAGACGCTAACAAAGTAGTGACAGGAATCGAAGTTGCCGCTTTATTTTCAACCAATTAGCAGCGATCCGTAGCCGTCTATGGACGAACACGGTCCAAAAGTGAAAATGGATGGAATTCGGACGGCTTTGCGCTTTCCGCGGTGTCGACTCGATTAACGACTAGCGTATTGTACGCGATCGAGATTATCGGCTACATAATGATCCTTATTAACGCGGTATTAGTACGCGTATCTGGCGAGTTGCACGCGTCGCGATTAACCTGCACAAACGCGCGTGCATGGCGTGCAACGCACCTTTGCTTCCTTCGTCTCTGTTTCTCTCGCCTCGTCTCGTTGACAAAATGCCTTTTGTCAGCCGCTCTGCTGGCAAACACGAGTTTAACTTGACGAGCTTCGTCGCAACGAGACCAACGGAGAGAAAAGAGTGTCGAAGAGAGGGAGAGAGACGAGAGACGGAGGCGCAACAAACGTAGGAAGGGGATTGGATGAACGACAAGGGTCAGCTGATAGCGGACAATTATCTCTCAGTTTAACTCGAGCGATCCGAGCCTCTGGCCGCGATATTGTAAAACATTATTGCGTGTACCGGATCGATCGTCCCGGCGAAATCGGTTCGACTACTCCGGAAAATGGAAATTCCTCACGGTTAATTGAAATTCTTTTCTTCGTTATTTCTTTTTTTCCTCTTTCGATCCAATAATTAAAAGCACAGGAAAGCTTTATCCACGCGAATAATGATTTCTCGTTTAAACAATAAAATCTCCTGTTTACTCGTTCTGTAAAAATAATTTTGCCGAATACTTTGAAACTCCAGAGTCGAGTTTTTAGAGAGAACATAGAACTCGAAGCGAAGATAATATTTTTTGGGCGGCGGGTAACAGTCGAAATAACGAGAGATCGACGTCGAATTTAGATAAACGGAGCTCTATCGCGTTATCGGGGCTCCGTGGTTTAATACGGTGCAGCGATTTCGAGGCTGTTTTGGATATCGCGTACTCCGGGTAAGACGACACCAGCGAGGGAGTAGAATCGATCGTTTGGTATTTTTTAATCTCGTTTGACGCGGCAAGCGTGTATCGTTGCTTATCGACGGCTTTGCAGTATTATGTCATCGGTTGTATTAGATTCCGCGACGTGGCACATCGTGTACTTCTCCGCCATGAATTGCAAGCTGTCAATGATAAGGAGCCCGGCAATTTTCGAAGAAACGAACATATCGCGTAACGAATTGAAATCTACGGATCCCTTTTTCCGCTCTGCTTACGCGACCGGTATACGGTTATACAAAAAACGATTGTCACGAATGGCAGCAACGAAGTAACTTGGCCACTTTGAAATCTCGGGCAAACTCTTCTCGGCGTTAAACGCTTCTTCCCTTCGGCGAGAAGAGGAGTCGCTTAAGAAAATAGCTGGTTAGGATGGTCCACGCTGTTCCACTGCTCTCCGTCAGGGTCGAGATTTCTCGTTAGAGGTTAATTCGCGCAATTGAGCCGGTTGCCATCTTAAAACGACTCCACGTTGCTGCTCTGGTCGGGTGTCGTTCCCCTCGTCAGCCTTCCGACGGTTTTTCGTTACGGATACAGGTTTAAAACCGCGTCCGATTCGTTCGAGTAAAGAAAAGCAGCGCGAACAATGTACGAGGTGGCA